GCTGCCTGGGCGCAAGGCGCGGGGGGCTGGGGGAGCCTTGGGCAAAGGATTTTAACACTCATATTTCCATAGAAGATATACAAATGTTTAAGAAACATATATTTCATGTTATTGGACATGAAGGAAATACAAAAAAGGCTTCAAACAAAAACCTGCACAAAAAATGTCTATAGCAGCACCGTTCCAAAGAGCCAAAAGGTAAAAACTGTACAAACATCCATCAATTGATGAGTGAATAAACAAAATATGGTATGTCTATACAACAAGCTACTATTTAGCCATAAAAGGAATAGAATAGTGATATATGCTGCTATAAAAAGATGACATTGAAAACATATACTGATCACAAGAAGTCAAACACAAAAGGACACATATTTTATGATTACATGTATGTGACTGTGTAGAAGAAGCAAATCCATAGATTAGTGATCCACCTATAGGTTAGTAATTGTCAGAAGATGGAAGAGGATTTAGAAGGATAGGAAGAGAGGAAGGAAGGGACAAGAAAAAAAGAATAGAAGGAAAAATGGAAACAAAGCTTTTATAAATAAAGAGGAGAAGAAGGGTTGAAGGGAGGGGAGGGGAATGGGGTAAAAACAACATGATATATCATGTACAGGTACAAATTCCCTATGATGAATGTTATCATTGTGTATATCTAAAATACATAAATAAAAAAATTTTACAAACAAAAAACCTGATAATAGAGACTAATATTTTGAGGTGTCAGAACGTTCTGGAAGTCAATAGTGGACCGGTTGCAAAATGTTGTGAGTATACTAAATGCCACTGGATTATGCACTTAAAAATGTTTCAAATGATAAATTTAATGACATACATTTCACCGCAAAGAAAAGCTCACAATCAAAAGATTATCCCACTTCGTGGTATGACTGTAAAACTTTTGATTCTAGTGCAAACCCTCCAGACAGTTCTAAGAGAATATCAGCAGAAGGAGCAGTAATAAGATATTGTCCTCAGGGGCCTGCCGGCAGATGCTGGAGTCAGGGTGCTCAGTTCAGGTTCAAGTTCGGTCACTCCCGGGGAACCCCGACCACAGCGCCTTGTGCACTGGAACACTACTTCTCCGTGTCTCCTTTCTGTTTAGGTTGAGACCATGTGATAACGTTTTGACCATGTGATAACATTTTGACCAATGAGAATGTGACCAAAAGTCTGGGGAGAAGGAGCGCAGTTCTCCACACTATAGTGAGCACGGCAGGACCTAAGAACTTTGACAGGACAGTTACCAGACAGGGACACTTGTGATCCTGAAGTTGCCATTCATGTAGAGCCATCGGTGAGAGAGAGACGTCTGAGCCACATCAGAGGGAGACATGCGTGAGAGAGGAACCTTTCGCCTTCTCAAATCACTGACAGTGGGAGTTTTGTGACCACAGCATAAATGATCCTGTTCTGATGAAATACATTAGCTGTGTAACTTTGAGGAAACTATTTAACCTTTCAGCCAGTTTCATCAGCTTCGTTCCCCTACTGAGCACCTAGCTCATAGAGTTATTAAGAAGATTAAATAAGATAATCCCTACAACATGCTGCATGCAGCACCAGGCATCTGCTAAATGTTCAATAAAGTGTAACCATGCAGCTGCTTTTGCTTTTATAAGCAGACAAATTAGCTGCGGTCTCACTGTCTTAGCACGGCCACCATTGTTTTGTTGTCAGTATTTCTCATACTTTCCTAGGCCTACTTTTACATGAACATAACAACTTATATTCCTTCCCTGGTATTTGATTATAAACATTTTCTCACATTACTGCTTGGCCCTTTGAGCATTATCATTTATGGTAAACATTCAGTGGGGAAGGACTGAGGAGTATCCCATGCTTCCTACAATTTCTAGCAGCCTTTTCTTAGTCTGTTGATTTATTTATTACTAGTCATCACACTCTTCCTGCAAAGTAAGAGCCCCTTCCAAAATTTACCAGGTATTCTCTAGCAGTTAAAAAAAAAAAAAAACAAAAAAAAAAACAAAAACGAGTGTCATTTGCTCCTAGTCTAATGCCAAGTTGTTCTAAGATATAAATGTTCTCTACGAACTGGCCCGTCCCTCTAGAAGTCTGCATGATACGTTTCCATCAGATGAGTTCCTTTGCTTGCCGTACAACTTGAGCTCTTTCAAGTCCCAGCTATTCCATGTGGACCAGTCATATTTATATAAGCAGTCTTCCTGGTATCTGTGATGGTTTGATTCCAGAAACTCCTTCCCATGGATATAAAAATCCACAGATGTGCAAATCCCTGGTACAAAGTGGCATATATTTGCAGATAACCTGTATACATCCTCCTGTCAAGTTGACACATAAAATTAATCATTACAGTCATTAAGACTGATTTCATATGACCTGATAATCTGTTTCCCCCTAGGAGGTTCTGAGATACAAACAAGTTACATTAAGAACTTCAGAATCACAGATGACCTTGTGGGAACTCATTCACCTTCGCCTTCTGGCTTGCACTTTGGTCTCCATGTAGATTGGATGACCATAGCTTTACCTGCCCCTTCTGGCTTGCGTTTGGTCCCCATGTTGCTTCGATGATCATAGCAGGTACCTCTATTGGAGTTCTCACCCCGCATCTTTCAAAGGATATGTAAGATGATGAAGTCCTTCAGTGCTTTGTTCCCACAAGTAGCAGTTCTTCTGGTGCCACAAAAGTCAAGTCCTAAAGCCCTGAAAAAGATACCATTCCTGTGAGGCACAAGTTGCATCGCTCAGTGTTTCCTTGTAAGCACAGGGTAAGAAAGAAATATTACTCTGTGCAAAATCAACTGATTTCTCTAGGAACAAATCCAGTTCTATCAAGACATTCTTTGGTGTGGACTGGAGTCTGGACTAGTAGAGTATGCATCTCAAGTACAAAATTTTAAAAGACACCAGAAAAAAATTTGGCAACCAAAATAAATAATACTTAGTGCAATATTTTGTAAAATCAGAATTAATACTAAACTTCAAAACATGTTAGTTTTTTTAATTTTTAAAATAAAAAAATGTTCATGAAAGATTCGTGGACTAATAGACTCAGATCAGAGTTCTGTGCAGAAGAGTATCAAGAGAATCAATTGCTGTGAATAATAGAGCAGATGGGTTGTAAATTTTGAATAATTATAAAGGAGGAGAGATGGATTAGAAATGCAAGTATTAGCCATCTAAACAAAAGGATGCTGCGAACTAGAGAGGATAAATAGCCAAAGTTCACATTGTCATAGTGATCAAAGAACACTTTAGAAAAAGAATATTGTAAAATTGAATTGCAATCATTTATGTGATCTGCTATACATTCCTTGTACACCCCTGAGTCCCAGAGAGTTCCAAGCTGGTTTTACAAATCTCCATTGTACATTTAGCTATTACTAAAGATATGGGTGTTGTGGTAGTAAAACAATGGCTCCCCAAAAATATCCAAAAATGTCTTCAGAATTGTGACTATCTAAGATTTGTGGCATGGTAAAAATAAGATTTCAAGTCGAATTAAAATTGCTAGTAACTTACCTTTAGGGATATTATTCTGGATTATCTGATGACACAGTGTAATCACAAGATTCCTAAATGGGGGTGGGAAGCCCAAAAAATCAGAACTTAGGATGACATGATGAGAAACACAACTGGCCCTTCACTGCTGGACTTGGGGATGGAAGAGAGCTCTGAGCCAGGGAATTTCAGCAGCCTCTAAAGCTAGAAAGGACAGAAAAAAAATTTAATTCTCCCCTTAAATAACTGGAGTCTTCAGAAGAGATGCAGTCCTGCCAACACCTTGATTTTAGCCCCCATTTCAGATTTCTGACTTCCAGAACTAGGTGATAATAAATTCGCCTTGTTTTAAGCAGCCAAGTGTGTGATAAACACACACATGACAGTGACAAGTGGAAACTAATACAAACTTTTGTGTCTAGAAGCAGGGAATTTCTACCATAAATCCTTAAATATGTGGCAGTATCTCTTGCAAGACAAGCTCACAGAGTTTGGGGGAAAAAATGGCAGAACAAATTTTAGTTTGAGAAAATTGAGGATCCACAGTTAGAGCTGGTGAGGAGTAAGTTACACTCTTTTCTCACATTATCTAGGAAAGGCCTTTTTCAAGAGATGAGGTCTTCAAAATGGCTGCTACACTGCGGCAGAGAGGCCATATTCTCTGATTTCAGAGTTGGCTGCTTCCATACAAAGCAAGACAATTTCAACTGTTCACCCATTGTCCATGCTCCAAAGGCATTGTGTAGCCTGCCTCAGTGACAATAAGAAAAGAGTTAACCCTCTTTATCACTTATTCAAGTGTTCTCCCTTGTCTCTGTGGGGCAGAAATCAATGAAGGCTGTTTTCATCCAAGTAAAAATAAATCTTAATCACCTTTGTAAAGAAGGAAAAGAGGAGCAAGTAGCGTTCTAAAAATGGACTCTCCTATTTAACAACTGTTAAGTGCTATTTCTTGAACGATACCAAAGATGACATCACATTCAGGTTATAAGGTGGGCATCATCAGCTGCTGATTAGGGAGCAAATGAAGGGGGAAAGAATAGTAAATGAAGATATATAAATAGATTCTTTTTTTTTTTTTGGTTGGGAGAACTCTCTAAACATGTAAGGCAAATAAGAATAAGTAAGCAGGCAATACATTTCTAATATGGAGGTATCAGAGAGGATATTCAGGCATGCTCACACTCCTCCATCATCACATCCTAGGTGGGATGGACTCTGTTACTGATGCATGGGGCCATGTAAAACCATTAAAGTGCCCAGCCCACACTCTTTCTGCCTCCTACTTTCCCACCTCCTATAACTTACCTTAAGCCTTTATACTATGACTTCCAACTTCCTCCCTCTTTGCTATCAAAAATCTCTATTTGAGGGCCCACAGTGACTGCACTTTCTGTGGTAGATTGTATTGTCATTGAGATGTGTGGTGGCTTGATAACTGGTGGCCAACTTGTAATACCCAGCTGAACTTAATCAGCATGGTGCTGGGTGTGGGAGGCCCACCTGGGGATTGTTGCCAGCAGCATAAAAGGGAGAACTGGAGAGGAAGGAGAGAGGCTGTTGGATGCTGTTAGAAGCTGTAAGGTGCTGTTTGTTCTCTTGGAGGAGTTTGTCATTCTGGCTTTCCTGATGAATTTGGCTGTTCTCATCATCCAAGGAGCTTGGAACTGTGTTGTCAACAAGAACGGCTTCAGTTCACTTTGGGGGAGCTCTGGTCCTCATGTTGAGCATCACTTCCTGGCCCCAGAGGGAAAGATGGTGCACTGCTCAGTCCCCTGGAGAAGTTTGTCACGTTGGCTTTCCTGATGGGAACTCAGATTTCCTCATTGTCAGAGTTGCCCGAGAACTCACTATTGCTGAGGATGGCTGTGGAACTTTTCAGGGGAGCTCTGGTTCTTACTTTGAGCATCACTTCCTGGCTCCAGTTCATATCCCTCAGCCTGCTAGCACAGGTCCTTCATCCCTCTGGCACAGAGTTTCTAGCTTCCATCACTGACACTTGGGCCTTGCCAGCGCAGATCCATGAAACAAGCCTGCATGAGACACTGTCATGGGCTCTAGACCTCCAGCTCGACTCATGGGAAGCATTGTTATAGGCTCTAGGTCTTCAGATGAACTCATGTGGGACATTACTGTGGGATCCAGGCCCTCAGCTAGATTCTTTGGTCTTTAGTGTGTGGACAGATTTCCTGCACTCTTTGTATATGATTCTTTGAGTGATTATTATAAAATAATATTATAAAATGCGTGCCCTACATTATATTATTCTCTTTGCAAAAACCCCAAACTACAAAAGGATGATACTTATAAAGGGATAATATTCCCATTCCATTGACTTTGGGCTTGGCAATAGTCTTAGTTTCCTCATCACTAAAATACAATCTTTAACATCTGCAATTTAAAGGAAGAATGGTTTGTTTTGTCCATATTTTCAGTCCACGCTCACCTCGCTCCAGATGGCAGAAATGCACAATGAAGACAAAAGTGTTCAACCCACAGCAGCCAGAGGGCAGAGAAAGTGAAGGGAGGACCAGGGAATAAGAATACATCGCCCTTCCAGGTCACACCTCCAAGTGCTCCACCTTCCAGGTCACACCTCCAGGCCCCACCTTCTAACCGCACACTCATTGGTGGATGAGTTACTGATGAGTATGGCACCACTGTGACCCAATCACCTTCCAGAATTTGGCGGGTCATTTTAGATCTAAATCATAACAGCTGCATGCCATACTTGGACCAAAAGCAAATGAAGAAATGTGACATGCACCATGGTTTTGCACAGTCATTTAATCTCTTTGAGTTATAATTTGAAAAGTGAAGATAATAAAAGTACCCTGGAATGGTAATTGTGGGGATTAGATGAAATAATACAAGGTAAGTATTAATGGACCACTTTCCAGGTATCAGAATGACCTAACTTGCTTTTTCAAACTCATAAGAAATACCACAAAAGTATTTTAAAGGACTCAAGGATATACAATTCTGCTCAGAAATGCTATTCAAATCTTTCTTGAGTAGAAGTGGAGGAAAACTTCATAATTTTGAATGGAGGCTGAAGTTAAGAGTTCACCAGGTGCTGGAGCTAGAATCACACACTGTTGCTGAGAAGTTCAAATCCCTCAGAAGAATGGGAGCTGGCCATTTTTCATGCATGGTAGGGAGACAAAGACAATCTCCATACTGTTTCCCCTCTGTAAAAATCTCCATCATTTACCCAGAAGTTGAAGGTACATTGGGGTTATAGATCCAAGATAGAAGAAAATAGACACATGAATACCCAGGAATGATGTACATGGCTATTCTATATCAGGGAGGGATTGTCCGGCCCCTTATGGAGCAAAAGCACTAAATTGCTAACATAAAACCACACCCTGAGTGATAGACAGATGATGCCAGGCTGAGATACCCATGGCCCCCTTGGTGAGAAAAGTAGAGCAGGAGTTCATAATCCAGATGGGCACTCCCTCGAACAAAAACTACAAATCAAATTAGAGAAGTCAACACTTTATCTGGATTCAATAAAAGAATAATAGCAAATCTATATCTGAGGAAGTTGCCAAATATCCCAAGACGCTTAAAGATCTATGAAATTTAAAAATAAACATAAGCTGCAATAACTTCCATAAAACAAGAGGAGACTGAGAACATAGGGAGTTACAAATCAGTAGGAGTTAGGAAAAGAGAGAGAATCGATTAGGAATATAATATATATACATATATACTTATGTTACATATATGAAATCTATTACAAAGAATTGGCCTAGACAATTATAAGGTGTCTCCAAATAAGTCCAAATTCCATAAGGCAGACCCTCAGAAATGGCAAGTTAGAATTTCTTGGCATGGATAAAAGCTGCTCCCCACTAACGAATTTTTCTTAAGACTATGAACTCTAAGACTATGAGCCTCAATTCTGCTCTATACAAACTTTTCACCTGGATAAGTTTAATCTAGTTTATCTAAAAAGACCTCCATTAGGTATGATAGACACTGTGAAATGATAGGAAACCACTGAAGAGTAAAGGGCTTCTGGGATGTGAGAAAAGAGAAGGGAACGAAGGAGAAATTTTGTATGTATGTATATACAGGATAGATAACATGGTTGTTCTTCTGCCTTCTATTTCTATGCTGAAAGAAACTGTCAATGAGTCTTTGGTTGACCAGTATTGCATGTTTATATCTGTTTTCATGAGAAGCCACTTTGAAGATATCAATATGTAATACAACCACCATTGTTAATTCCCTACCACTTTGTTTGTAACTCTGTATTGTCTGTATTGTGCTTGTGATATGTTGTAAAATGTTGTATGTCTGTTAATGTTTCCCTCCTTTTATCTTTAAAATAAAAAAAATAAAAATAAAAAAAAATAAAAAATAAAAAGACCTCCATTATCTCAAGTCAACTGATTATGGATTTTAATCACACCTGAAAAATACCTTCACAGCAACAGAGACTTGGTTGTTTCATTAAATGATTGTAATTTAGCCTAATTGGAACATCACGAAGATCATCACAAAACTGTTTTCATTATATGCCATAGTCCTCTTTCCTCTTTTCTTATCTTAGCTGGGTAGCTCAAGGCCTCTGATGAGATTGCAGGATTCATTCCTCCTCCATTTCTTTAGGTGTAGGATGTCTCCCAGATTATCCCCATGACCATCTTCCCTCTGCTGTCCATACTATATCCACTCTCGATCACCTTCTACCACACTTTATCAATTTTAGCAGCTTTCTACATAGCATTCCTCATCAGCTGTGAGGTCCCTTTTGAGCTCTGGGTGTGTATTTTTAGCTTCTTGACAGAGATCTAGAGAAAGCTATCTAATTCCTTTGGGGCTCAAGTTTCCTATTCTATAAAATTGGATTGTAAAGATTAGAAGAGAAAAGGTAATATTTTTAAAGGATTCTCATTACACCTGGTACATAGTCAATGTCCAGTAAGTGTGAATTAACTTAAAATTACTAATCTTCTAAAAACAAAATAAAAACTACTAAAGAAGACAATTCATAGACAGATGGGCCAAAATCTATAGAACATTGAGGATATCCTGGTGTAGCATTAAACTAAAGGTCCCTAATTTCACAAGAAGCTCCACTGGCTGGGACCACTCTGTAAGTGATTTGGCTGACACAACATGGTCCATTGAGGACTGCATAATGTAAAAGCAGAATTAGACTACTTGAATATATTTTTCAAGGAAAATAACACATAAAATTTGTGATATTCCTTTTGTCTGACAACTTAGACAAATTACTAAGATACCAGTTAACTGGTCTTGGACTGCAAACAAAAAAAGTAAATTATAAATCTCTGGACAAAACAAACACAAATAGGGGCTGGGGATTTAGCTCAGCGGCAAAGCGCCTGCCTGGCAAGCGCAAGGTTGTGAGTTCGATTCCCGGTACCGGAGAAAAACCAAAAAAAAAAAAAAAAAAAAACCAAAAAAAAACAAACACAAATAAATACGCAATTTTTTAAAAAAATTCAAGTTTAAAAGAAACTTCAATGAAGAAAACATGTACCCTCTTTTCTGTTCTAGACTCCATTTGCAAAAGCTCTTATGAGACCATAAAGGAGTCTCCAGTGCAAAGTATCTTACATCACAATAGCTTAACACTCGCCCTCTTGAGAAGCTGTTTCACCCACTGACTCCTTATCTCTCAATATCCTGAGACCATTTTCCAAGATTCCATAAGCTCCTATCCTGTCTTCCAAGATTTGGGGAACTTAACATAGTTTTGCCACTTTTTACCTTATACAAATCATATACTGCTATATCACAAACTGCCTTAAAACTTTTCCGTTTAAGACGCAAAAATATTTATCATTTCACAGTTCCTATATGTTAGGAGTTTGGAGGCATCTTAGCTGGGTAGCTCAAGCCCTGTGATGAGATTGCAGCGAAGATACTGGCCACAGCCAAAGAGCAGCCAATTCCAAAGTAGCTCACTACATGACTAGAATATTCTGCTGGCTTTGACTTTTCTAGATCCTTGCCTCTAGAGAGACCCATCTATGTGTCCTCATGATGACAGGTGGCTTCCCTCAGAGCCAATAATTCAGAAGAAAAATGGTACCTCTAATGTCTTTCAGACCTTGCCTCAAAAGTCACAATCTATCATTTCTGAATTACCTATTTCTTAATGGACAGAGCTATTTAATTTGAAATAATATTACCCTACAAATCTCCTTCCACAAGGAGATAACACAATGAATATTACCAGGTAAAAATCACAAGGAACCATTCACTGCTGGGTCCCACAGTTCACCCTCTGACCCCCCATGATTTATGTTCCTCCCACACATAAAATATGTTCTCCCCTTCCAAAACTCCCTAAAAGGTTTCATCTCACTACAGTATCAGCTGGAAATCTAGGACATCGTCATAACATGCAGGTGCATATGAGGCTCTTCTGGCCTAATTACTCAAATAAAAGTCTTCTCCACACACAGACCTGTGAACTAAGGAGACAAAGACATATGTTAAACCTGAGTCCCCAAATCCAGAGCATATGTTTCCAAGTCCTTGATTAGAATCAAGGCTTGAGAAAGATACTTCATAGCTCTTGGTCATCTTAGTATTCTTCCTTTACTCTAAGTGTGTAGCCCACATTTGCGACTGCATAATTTTCTCTACCTCTGTAGAAGTTCAGAAGTCACAGGCCTGTTTTCACTTTGCTCTATCTCTCTTCCTTTCATTCCCAACTGGTAGTGTTTCTGATGATACATTTCTGTCAAAACCATGGGATTCTCTTGTTAAACTAATTAGGGCTCACTCCATTCAACAAAAGGCATATTTATGAATCCACTCAAAATTGTCTGTCTTGGACTTCTGTCTGTCTTGGACTTCTGCTGAGATTGTTAAGGGATAACATCGTTAAGCTCCTTATCAGCATTTTTTATTAAATGTGTATCTGAGGCAGTCCTGGAGAGCTTCCTGGGGTTGTTACAAAGGATTTTATACTGGACCCTGAGCTCCATCTTCATGTTTTCCTGGAAGTATCTCACATGTTATCTTTACCTAGGATGTGTTCTTTACTTTTAGCACTATCTGAAGAAGCTGGAAAGTTTCAAAACAAGCCAATCCTAGCTCCCTCTTATTTAAGGGTCCTTCTTTTAGCTTATCTCATCTCATATTTTAATGAAAGGCACTAGAAGAAATCAGGTGGACCCTACAACACTCTGCCCAAAAATTTCTTTGGCTAGAACATTAAGTTCATTGATTGTATTTTCCACTTTTCGCATTACTGTGGGTAACAATGCCACTAAACCCCATGCCACTGCATAACAAGAATCCCTCTTTGTTCAGCTCTCAGTAACATCTCCTCTTTGTGTGTGTGTGTATGCATGTGTGTGTGTGTGTGTGTGTGTGTGTGTGTGTATTACTGCAGACTGAACCCAGTACCTTTGCACTGGCCATACTTCAGCTCTTTTTATTTTTCATTTTGAGACAGGGCAAGTCACTAATTTTGCCCATGCTTGGCTAGAACTTGTGACCTGCCTGCTTTTGTCTTAACAACATCCTCCTCTAAAGCCATCAGGGTTTCTATGGA